GTTAATATCTGATTTAACCTACTCTCCACTCGAAACAACTAATTTAGCCTACTCCTCACTTTTAACATCTGATTTAACCCTCTCCCCACTTTTAACATCTGATTTAACCCTCTAAAACTTAAAACATCTGATTTAACCCTCTCCCCACTTTTAACATCTGATTTAACCCTCTCCCCACTTAAAAGATCTGATTTAACCCTCTCCCCACTTTTAACATCTGATTTAACCCTCTCCCCACTTTTAACATCTGATTTAACCCTCTCCCCACTTTTAACATCTGATTTAACCCTCTCCCCACTTAAAAGATCTGATTTAACCCTCTTATTAGCTTTTTAACATCTGATTTAAACCCTCCCCACTTTTAACATCTGATTTAACCCTCTCCCCACTTTTTAACATCTGATTTAACCCTCTCCTTATCTTAAATGATCTGATTTAGACTCTCCCACCACTTTTAACATCAAGATTTCGTTTTAATTTATGATCTTTAGAATTTCTCCCATCTTATTTTCTGATTCTTTTTCCCAATTCACTTTAACATTTCATTTAATACCCTCTTCGCTTTTAACATCTGTTTTAGCGTCTTTTTTTCCACTTTTAGCACCAGAATTAGACCCCTCCCGGCTTTTAGCACCAGAATTAGACCCCTCCCGGCTTTTAGCACCAGAATTAGACCCCTCCCGCCTTTTAGCAACACCATCCAGTTTTTATTTTGTGGCGCTCAGCCTACCTTCACAATACTTTTTAATTCATTTATTCGCCTGATAGTTTTTTCAATATTCCTAATTTCAATAAACCCTTGCAAAAAATAAAATAATAATAATAATAATAATAATAATAATAATTATTATTATTATTATTATTATTATTATTTCAGGATTCGGCATATTTTTATTCATATCGCCCGCCTTCATTTTTCTTTTAAATCACAATATCATCATTGATAGAGTCTTCTTTATCGAAATCTGGAAGAAGCATTTTCATCATTCCATATCTATTTTCGGGCTATTGTCTTCAACGTTGTTGTCATTTATTTATTGATTCCGTTTATTTACGAAGTTCTGCGAGTTGAAGTGACAGAGATGATAGGATTGCCCAACATTTACAGCCATATTGGAAGGGCCCTGGAGTTAAACAGAGAGGTAACGCGACGAATTACACAGCGGAGTTGGTTTGTCGAAAGTAAACTGTCAATAGTCGCCTTAAATACTATGAGAAAATATTTTCAACTATTTTGAAAAGAGATTTATGCAATGCTCTTAAAATAGACACGTAGATACTTTATACAAATTTACAAAACGCACACTCGGGCTTTTATCTAAAAAAAAACAACAACCCCCTCAAAAAAAACAAGGATATTTCTTTTTTATGTTAACTCCTGTGGAAGCGAGACGGATGCAACGAAGAAGGGAGAATCGCAGCTATTTTCATCGTCCATTATGAAATGTGGAGGAGAAAAAGACACAGGAGAATTCTTTCCGCCTGTCAACGATGAAAAAGAAATATTTTCACGAGAACAACAAGTTCTCTAACCAGTTAGAATAATGCAGATAATAACGGGAAAAATATGCGAAATAAAGACAGCTGAAATTTTCTGGGACACTCCATTCTTCCGTGTATTTTCTAAAGAGATCAATTAGAAAAGATCCAACTCGATCCATAAGACGTTTGGCACGCGAGAGAGGAGATTTACCTAAGACAGGTCAAAGAGCAATGAAAAAAGTCTTTAAAATGAAATCGTACGTGAAAACTGTGAGGACAGAAGGTTAGAAGCTTAGAGAGACCGAAGATCATCTTGAATAAGTGAAAAAATGATCATGGAATAATATATATACGTATTTAAACTTTATTTCTCTTGTAACCAAGTAATTGGTTAAGTAATAACAAAAACCAGGTTTGCAGATATATCGTATCGTAATACTCTTCTGGCGTACTTACTGTTCTAAGTACACCAGAAGAGTATTACACGACTAGTGAGAGTGTATCGAATGAACTAGCGCTCAATTTATTCACTGTTCACTGTTCCCCGAACCTTCTCTCCTACTAAACTTATAGTAAGTGGAAGAGTCCAACACAGACTCTTAGAGGAAGGACACCACAGCAATTTCAATTGTTCATAAGCTTCCGACTCTTAGCTATGATTATTTAATGATGACTATGCCATTTCCGTTTATGATCGATTTCATCACGATTCTTCTGTTAAGCTTGGAGAATAATTATATATTCTTATTACTCAAAGTAGTGTCCAATAGTGTTACAAAAACATCAGAGAATTCCAGTAAGATATCTTTAATCATTTCTAAGAACAACGGTTCAAAACTTAATATAAAAACTGGAAACATTTGGCATTCGTTGACCAATCAGCTAGTACTGCTTTCGCTTGAAATTTATAAAATCTTTCCCTTAAAACAATTTCTTTTTAAACAGTTTTCTCGTATTCGTTAGCTGTTCGATTCTGCACAATTAAACTTACTATTTAACACCCCAGCCCGGGTTTGTTTTTAATGCCCTCAATAGCATTTATAATAGACATGCAGACAAATGCCGAGCGAACAGTAATAATAAATCAAATATTTTAATTAAATACAACTAATTCTAGAAACATGATATAGGTATAGAGAAATCTATTCACTCCAATAAACTGCATAGAAATCAACATAAACGGTCCAACATCTCTGCTGCACATTTCAACCAACCGGATGCTAGTATTGATAACGTGAGATTGTTCGAAAATCTATCTAACGATATTCCGATTTTTAAGATCGTTTTTCATTATACTTCTTTTTTGGTTCGGTGGTCCAATAACATAAAACAACAACAATAATAACAACTACATTATTATTATTATTATTATTGTTGTTGTTGTGTGCTATCATCTTGCCAGAGAGTAATATTAAGTGCCTAATTACGAAGTCTCCTCCGGGGTCAGTGAATAAAAAGAAGACTATAGGAGAGTAACGTATCTATGCACATTTGGGTCGTTTCGTTTTGATGGAGCTAATTTTGCGGTCAAAGAATTCTTTTGTATCTCTGAGAATGCTGATGCTTTCCTGAATTTTGCTCACATGATTTTTCGTACCATTCCTTATCATACCCAATGCTCATATCACAAAAATGGCTAATCTTAGTTTTGAAATTTTTTTTAAAAGAAATATTGACATCCTGTTGACAAATCATATAAGATGGAAGTTTCCTTTTTTTTTAAATCTTTTGTGAATATATCATTATTATTATTATTGAAAACACAACACGAAAAAAATTCTGTCTCCTTGAATTTCTTTCCTACTATATAAATGTGTGTGTGTAAAATTTCAAATATAACTAAAAATATATCTACAAAAGAACTAATATATATATATATGAAGAAAAATATACAGAAAAAACAAACAAAAATCTTAATATGCAATTATGCTGTATTAATGTTAATATAAAGTCAACGTCGGACGTTTCGGTCTATTTAAGACCATCTTCATGGACATTTATATACATTATACATTGTATAAATTCACTTTTATAAGTTTAGGTCCTTTTATTAAAATCTTAATCATCGCTTTTTAAAAAAAATCAACATTACTGAGCGAAGGAAGTTAAAACAATTGAGGTGTCAAGGGGAAAAACGTCCTTTTGACACCGTTTTTTTTTTTTTTTCGGACACGAAAATCCAAATGTGTCAAAAAAACGTTTTATAAATCAAGATGGAAATAATAACAGCAGAAAAAGCTTTTATTCTTATTTAGATGTGTAAAAAAAATCAGAAAAAAAATTCCTTATGAAAAGGACCCTACGTGTATCATAGGCAATACTCAAAATGCCACAAGACGCAAGAGTGTGTGAGAGTAACCGCATTAAAAACACATTACCATCCACGTTAAAAAGGCCTTGTGCCACATGACGCCCTCGTGGGAGGGTGACCGAATATCGTTCAGTCCGAAGTCGGGTGACCGGCTGACCGATTGCACTCTCTGCCATCGGGCGGGGAGGAACACGAACGAGGCTACGCCGAAGGGCGGAGTCTCTTTCGGGGAGGTAAACCGACCCTGAACCCGTTTATACGGGTTCAAAGGGCATATTTTTGGCCGAGCCCACGGGCTCGGAGATTCCACGTTAAACCGGACTTCTGCCACATGGTACCCTCTGGGGGGGGGGGACTAAATACTTTTCAGTCTGAAGTCGGACGACCGGCTGACCGGCTGATCGGTTGAGCTCTCTTCCATCGTGTTTTTGGCCGAGCCCGCGGCCTTGTGTCACATGATGCCGTCTCCGGGGGCGGTGACTAAATACTGTTCAGTCTGAAGTCTAGAGTTCAGTCTGGAGTGAAGTCCGTCAGTGTCAATCGAGTCAGAGCGAGTCAGTCAGTCGAGTCATAGGCAGTCGCGTTCAGACAATTACTACTAAACCTGATTGTTCGTACTAACACTTTTCTACTTCTCTGTATATATATTCCTGTTTGTAATATATCTGTGTTATTCCATATCCGTATTCGAGTTCTTCTTTATTGGTTCTACCTTGGACTATCACCTTGGTACAAAGAACCGGACCATAACACAATATCTGTTGTTATCTTTTCTCTTCTTAATTCCCGTTTCTTTCTCTTCTTAATAATGTTTTTTTCTTAACAAGAAAAATCCCAAATGAAAAAATGGTGCCAAACTTTGTTAGTTGAAGATGGAATAATCTATTATAACATGTCTTTAAATTGTATTTAGATACATTGTATTTATTTAAATTTTTTCTAGTTGATTTGTTCACACATATTGCATATGATCGATTATTGTACATAATTAGGTTACAATAAAATTTGTATTTTATATGAATACTACCTTGTAAAACCACAGATATAGTAGAGTGGGGGGTCGTATCATACACTATTTGGGGCGGGGGTTGCGAGAACCTTTCACCAGCCCTGCACAGAATTATATATATATATATTTTTTTTTTCAAATGTGTTTTATCAAAAAGGACAACAACTCACCAGTTCTTGCTATATTCGAGTAAATCTTTCAACTCCTTGCCCACTTTGGCATCTGAAGCGTGAAGTGATTGCCTAAGGCGAACAGAGCGGCACTTTGACTCTGAATCCATTCGAGCATAATGCTAATGCGATTGCCACGAGATCAAATGTTCATGCCGCAAGTAATCGACCCTCAACCCTCTCCGGCCAATAGCTGACACTCCGCGCCACCCGCTTGGGGCCAATCGACGCTAGTGACTCATCACCAGCCGCTTTGCCGGACCCTCTTCCTCTTTGCCAAGCCAAGCCGTTATTTGTTGATGGGTTGGTCACCTGATCGTGAGGGATGGTCATCCCGTGTGAAACAGACGACAAGAAACCAATAATCAAGTAATAATGAATAATTCATCAATTATTTGAACAGGAAAACACGTGTGTATCTGTTTTGATTATTATTATTATTAATTACTTTTTGGTAAGGATAGAAAGTAGAAAATGAAGCTTTGTCAGGTAAAAGGCTATTTTCATTAAGCTCTCTCTCTCTCTCTTTCTGGAGGGACCCGTACTTAGTAAACAACCACCAAACAGTATATAAAATTAACTCGAATTATAGCATTTATTAAACATCGCCTAGTCGTGCATAAAGCCATTTGACGTCGAGCACTTAGCGTGAATCAAATTAATTCGAGAAGTAACGATATTTTCGGTTACCTTTGAACAATTTTCACCACTTTGCAACGTTGTCGCTGTTAAACTAGTTTAATATGACAAGTGGTTAGGATCGAACTCACAGTCAGTATGGCTGACCGCTATGTTTGAATCACACACACGCCCAGCCTGTCGTTTATACTGCTAATATGCTGTGCGGACCTCATTACAGTTTCTCGGAGAGAGCACACAATATAGCTTGAATAACAGTTTGAACAAGGCCAGTGCGCTAAAACCCTCGGTCACGATGACTTACGAATTCGTTCTAGCACAGCCGTCAAACAATTTCCCTACAGTTCCATCTATCCAATTCCAATTACAAGGATTTGCTCAACTCATGTTATGGTCATTAGGTACTTACAAATGGTGACGAACGCTGAAATATTGTCTCCAAAGCCGATATTATCAAGAAGTCACTCCACCCCACTAACAAATCGACCGTGGTGAGAATACGGAAAATTAACGTTCTCACCATTCGATAACGCCCCCGCGTACTCAAGTGATTATAGAAATAAAGACTATAAAAGTCTTTGGATCCGTTTGGGCCTTTGACACAAGGCCATCAATTTTTCTGAGATAGGGTATGGTAACTATTTGCACTATCGATATCGTTCAAACAGTTGTTCCCATCTTTATTGCCATATTCACGACATTTCGGCCATTGTACGCCTCGGACTTCTTCAGGTGATATATGTTAGAATTTCGAATAGAACTCTTTATTTTAATCCACGGGGGCAGATAGTTCTAATTCCCTGTGCTATGTATTTTCTGGATATCATAGTTCGGTTATTTCCCCTTTAGTAATTCAACTTTTATTCAAGTTTTTGTTCACCTCTGGCTAGGTACTGAACACTTTTTTGGTCAGTTTTTGTATTACTTAAACCAACGCTTTTATCCACTGTGTCCTTTGGGTGTAGGATATTGCAATAAAGATGAGAACAACAGTCAGAACAATGTAAATAGTGTAAATAAGGGCACATATATATATATATATATATATATATTAAACATGGTAAACAGGGTGCGTTGAGTCACCATTTTATGTTTTTATTTTCACACCACCAGAGATTTGGAGACAGCATGCTTTGCTGCTTAGCATTCAGAGCGGAAGCTCCAATACAGACTGTTTAGAGTGTTTGGGAGTCAATCTGAGGAGAGTGCAAATGAGTATAATTGTGATGACAAAGGTGTTTGAATTGATCTTCAGTGATGGCAACATTATAACACCATTAATCTTCCTACAGGGCCTAAGACACACAACATGGAGGCCTACATCATTTGCTTTGAAGAGAGTGGCTGTTGGAAGACTCTATGTCTGGCAACAGGACTCTACACCATGCGACACATCAGGAGTACCCAGTCAGACAATTATTGTGACCCCATCACAGTTTACATCTGGCCACCCAACTTCCGAGACTGCAACCGCTTAATTATTATGTGTGGAGCGCATTTGAGCGAGAGACCCCAAAAAACTTCTTATAACACCAAAGATAAACTGAAGGCAAGGATTATGGCAGCATTAATCAACTTAAATATTGACCACTAATATTATCAATATATATATATATATATATATATATATATATATATTGACCACTAATATTATCAATATATATATATATATATATATATTGACCACTAATATTATCAATATATATATATATATATATATATATATATATATATATATATATATATATATATTTGACCACTAATATTATCAATATATATATATATATATTATATATCAATATATATATATATATATATATTGACCACTAATATTATCTATAAATATATATATATATATATATATATATATATATATATATATATATATGGATTTCAAGAGGATAGGATCCAGGTAGAGATGAATGCCCAGGACAGAGCAAGAATATAATGGTCAAACACTAATAATCCATGGTTATAATTTATTACATTGGAATTATAATCACGATTCCGATGCAATAAATTATAACCATTGAATATGAGTTTGAGCCTCTGAGTGTTGACTTCAATGTTCACTTTTATATTTATATTTACATACACTCTATCTCTGATATTGACCACTTTTATCACATAAATATACCACATGTTAAAACGATATATATATATATATATATATATATATATATATATATATATATATATATATATATCGTTTTAAGGTTTTAATATATATATATATATATATATATATATATATATATATTCATTCGTCGTATGCGACAAACAAAAAGAAAATTGACTTTCAATCGATTTTAAAAGAAGTATCTGCTTTGTGGCTGAAGCAGTTATGTATTTCCATTTTGAGTCGGTAGTTGATAACTGAATCTAAATAAAATCTAAGATTTTTAATGTTGACTTTCAAGAAACGCTGGTACAATATCGCTCTTTTTCCTTCTTTCATTTCAGACTTCTCTTTTTTTCTTGCCCTTTTTCATTCTTTGTCACTCTCTTTAATCCCTTCCTTAGTTTTTTTTCTTTCTTTCTTAGCGTATTCATCTATTTCTTTTTTTTATTTATCTGTTTCTTTTAGTCTCTTTGTTTCTTTCTGCTTTTGTTCCTTTCCATTTCCTATTCCTTCTTTTTTCTTTGTATATTTCTTTCTTTCATTCTATCATTCCTCCATTCGTTCTTTTTCCCCAGCTTCTTTTTTTAGTTACTTTGTTTATTTTATTAATCATTTTCTTCTTTCTTTTTCATTCTTACTCTCTTTCTTAATCTGTTCCTTTCCCTCTTCCTCTACTTTCTTCCCCTTTTTCATTCTTTGTTCATCTCTACATTTCTTTCATTGTTTTTTTTTTATTTCATTCTTAGCCTGTTTACTCACATCTTTCTTTTTTCTTTATTACTTTCGTTCTTAGGCTCTTTTTATTTCTGACTTTGTTCTTTCTTCCTTTTTCTTTCTTTCCTTTCTTTCTTTCATTTTTAATCTCTTTCCTTCTTTCTTTCTCTTTAGTCACTTTATTTCTTTTTCTATTCATTTTCTTCCTTTTTTCTTTCTTAATGTTTCCTTTTTTTATTAGTGTCTTTATTCCTTTCTTTGTTAGTTTTTGTTTCTTTTTTATGTTTCTTTCTTTTTAATATCTGTTTTTCATTTCCTTATTTCTTCTTCTTTATTTAATTCTTTCTTTCTTTCTTTTAATCATTCCTTCCTTCATTCTTTCTTTTTGTTGTCTCTTTCTCCTGTGTTTTTTTTTTTCTGACCATTTTCTTCTTTCTTTTTCCTTTCTTACTTTCTTTCTTCATCTATTCCTTTCGCTCTTTCTTTCTTTCCTTCTCCCCCTTTTTCATTCTTTGATAATCTACATTCCGTTCTTTGTTATTATTTTTGTTTGCTTGTTTCTTCGTCTGTTCATGTTTGTCTTTCTTTCTTTCTTTTTTCTTTCTTTCTTTTTTCTTTCTTTCTTTTTTCTTTTTCTTCTTTCTTTTTTCTTTCTTTCTTTCTTCTTTCTTTCTTTCTTTCTTTTTTATTTCTTTCGTTCTTAGTCCTTTTGTTTCTTCCCTATTCTTTGTTTCTTCCTTTCATTCCTTTCATCATTCTTCTCTTAGTCTCTTTCTTTCTTTTTAGTCACTTTGATCCTTTTTCTGTTATTTTCTTTCTTTCTTTCTTTTTTAGTGTTTTTTTTTGTTTCTAACTTTTTTAAAAAAATGAGGCAAATAATCGATTCATTCTCTCGATTTCCTGGTTATAAAATTCATAACTGCTTTCCACCAAATTATCCATAAATATGGTAAGGGACTGTCAGAAATTTATAGATTATAAATCTAATCGCAAAATATCTTTCTTATATATTCATTTCTGTAATGAGTTCGATCCTCACTGAGCCCATTACACTTGTAAGAATGCTTTCTGTGGCATGATGGTTAAAAAAACTAGTTTTTCAGGTTTTTGTCTATAGCATCGTGAGCTCTGTTCATACTGAAATAACACTACATTAGTGCGGCTTTCAATCAGATTTCGCTAAGCTTAGGAAATAATCTTTATTATACACTGAGTTCACTTTCTCATTAGACGATTCACACCTGTGGTATTCCGCCGGACATTTTACACATTTCTAGAAATCACTGCGCCAAGATTTGTAAAACCCCATTTTCTATCAATTTTCTTTCCGAGGAAAACATTTCACGCCATAAATACCTCGAATTTTTCTACATGCCTCTTATGTATGATTAACCAAAACATTGCATTGGAAGCAAAAATAGTGTAGATTGTTGTCAGAAAAGAATATGGAAACAAAAAAGTACAATAATTTAACAAAAAACACCGCACAAAATATAAAGTCTTGTGCAGCAGAATTTATCTGAGCGTCTAGTGTATTCTCATCGGGATATTGCCTTCTTGTTAATTCCTGATAGGGAAAACTTTTTAACGTGATCATGGAACCAAAAAAAACAACGAATGTCTTGTTTGTTTAGCGGCATATCAACTGTTTATGGGTCATTTAATGCCGAATTTTAATTTTCTTGGAAGCATTAGTAATTTCTTTGACAAATGTATTACTAGTATTTTTTTTTATATACAAAAATATATTGCTAGTATTTTTACTATAAATTTTGTTATACTTTCTTAGTATTTTGACCTCAGTTTACATGTAGCTAGAACTCTAACAGCCGCTACCACCCCGGGTCAGGGTGGACCTGGGAAGAACAGCAATTAAGATGTGCTCCCTCGCTCCTCAAAACCTCCCGATTAGAGGACTTGCTGCCGGATGTAATTTATCGTCATACCCAGGACGGACTAATCTTCTCATTAAAGGAGAGTTGAGGGAACTAGGAGGAGATGAAAATGCATGAAGATCTTCTTCTATGAGGGAAACAACATTACAATTTTCTCTCCTTTGTAGCTCAATAAATTTTGCCTTATTTTAACCTCCTCACAGACCTTGTTCCGCCGCTACCCATTTACTCAAGTTCACTATGTAGGTAATGCGTTGTTTTCCACTGTCCCTCTTGCTTTCAATTTGTCTAGTGAGTATCGAATTTCCTAAGCCTTCTTTCCTCATTATGCGACCTAAAAAATTCTAGTGACCTTTGTGCTTCTATTTTCTCTAGAACTTCTTCGTTGATCACATGTTCAGTTCATGGTATTCTCAGTATCCTTCTGTAGAACAACATTTCTGTAGCTTCAGTTCTTATCTTCATCTCTGAGGAAATTGTCCAACATTCACTGACATATAGGAGGACTGATATTACATAACATTTCATTACTGTTTTCTTTGTTTCAGCTAAATCGGGAAGACATACTGGGTTGGCCATCAGGTTCGTTCTATGTTTACCATTAGGTGTTATGTTATTTTTTTTAACCTAAGAAGATCGCTTTTCGTTATATATTGAAGGTTGTCAAATAATTTAAAATTTTGATTTAAAAGATGTCGACATTTTTTTTTGTTTAGTCCTTGCAAAAATGCAAAGGTAAGAAAATATTTAGAATTGTTTTATGTTAACGATCTCCCTATGAACATTCTCAGATCATTGGTAAATTATACATATTCTGCCGCTTTTTATTGGCTTTTTCTTTTTATGTGCCGTGTCCTTTCAGGGCGTAGGCGATAATGGCCCTCCACTTTCTTCTATCCCTTATAGCTCTCAACAGGTTTTGTGTTTCTGCCAACTCCCCCAGACCACGCTCCTCCATCCACTTGCTTAAGCCCGCCATGTATGTCGTGCGCTGCTTTTTCCTTGTCTCTTTTCCCCTCTATTCGTCTCGTGAGTATCAGATTCTCCAAGCCCTCTCTTCTCATCACGTGTCCCAGAAATTTCATCTGCATCTTCCTTGTGTTTAAGCATAAGCTTCCTCCTTGTTTGCATTCTCTCCAAGGCCTCATCGTTGCTCACATGCTCGGTTCATGATATCCTCAGCATCATTCTGTAGAACCACGTCTCCGCCGCATCGAGTCTCTTCTTCATCCTTGAGGGTACCGTCCAACATTCGCTGTCGTATAGGAAGACATGTCATCTATCAGATTAGTACTCTTTTCTTTGTCACCATAGAAATCCTCCTGTTTCGTAGTAATGTTCCCAGCTTCTGAAATTCATCCTTGGCCATCTCAATCCGTATTCGGATCTCAGCCTCGCACCTACCGTCCTCCGTCAGAATACTTCCCAGATACTTCCGCACATGTTTGCCTTTAGTGTCCACCACCTGCAAATCGCATTTTGGGCTCATCCTTTTACTGATGACCATGAATTCTGTCTTCTTGTAGTTTATGGTTAGTCCTTTCTTCTCACTCTCCCTCGCTACCTTCTGTAGGAGGTTTTTGAGTTTCTTTTCCTTGTCTGCTATCAATACCGTGTCATCTGCGTATCTTATGTTGGTAAGGTTGCGGACGCCAATCATGAATCCTGATAGGATCTCCAGTTCCCTCAGAATTGCCTAGGTTGAATAAGTCCAGTGAGAAGACACATATTTTCCTTACGCCTCTTTCAGTTCTTGTATATTCGCCGAGTATTGCTCTTTATGGGCGCACTTCCAAAAATTCAACTAAATCGGAGCCTTTCAGCTGATCTTTGACCTTGCTGTAACAGGTCAATGGGGAAACAACTGACTTTTAATTCCAGTGCAACAAAAATCAAGCTAATATTTTATCACCCCCGTTCAGACTCTGAACCATCTCCATTCACGATTAGCCGTTGCACTGTTGGTGAGGCTCCATGCTTTGAACGTCTAATTGGTCTACATTTAAATTCCAACGATCCATTACTAAAGATGGTGGGAAAATGGTCGGCTTATTCTCTCGCTCTAGGAAATACCGATTCCATCTGTCATGCTTTATCTTTACATGAATCAGATTAGGCCATAATGAAGTATTGCTACCATATCTGAGCTGACGCTATACAATCTTCACTTCAAGCTTTGATAGACTTCAAAATTTATTCGATTTATAATTTCAATTTTATTATTAATGGTATTATATTTGTCCTGTAAATGATAATTGGTTCCAAGATTCAAAAATTCTCCTGGTGTCCGGTGAGTTAGATAATCTGAGGGTCTTGTTTCAGATAAGCAATATGGAGTTTCACTTCTGCTGATGTGCTAACGGTTATTGCTGAAAGAGTCTGTCAAGCTTTAGATAAGAATGGTGAAGCTCGGGCTGTTGCTTTGGGTATCTAGAAGGAATTTGACTACGTATGGCATAATGTTTCTCTTCACAAGTTGAAGGGTTATGTTATTTCTGGACGAATTTTTGAACTGAACCAGTCTTTCTTATCGAATCTCCAAATGAATGTTGTCTTGAATGGCCTCTCCTCTAGATCATTTTACAATAATCCAGACTAAAGGGCTCTATCCTCGGACCTACGTTGAACCTAATTTTCATCAACGACCTTCCTGATGGCACCAGTTATCAACTCGGTATCCATGTTGATGATACAAATTTTTATTCTTGTCTTAATATAAAGTCTGAGCAGTTCGATAAGGTCAAATTGCCAGCAGGTCTAAAAAATGAACTATATTCTGTTGTTAGCTGGGGCAAGAAATGGCTTGTTAATTTTCACGCTTCCAAAACGAAGCTGTTCTCTTGTAAAGGTTTGAAAGAACCCTTTTTACTGTCCATCAGTATAAAGGATGCTAATCTCCAGGAGAATGACCCATTGCGACATCTTAGTCAAGTGTTTTCCGTTGACATGAAATGGAAATATTCTATTGAAACAGCTGCTAGGTCTCCTGCGAAGAAAGAGTATTCACTATGTTGAGTCAGACAATTTTTCTTGTCCAAATCTATCTTACACATTTATAAGTGTACCATTCGTTCATTCTTTGAATATTGCTGCCGCATATGGTTTGGTGTTACCGTTATATATTGAGAGATTCTTGATAAAATCCAAAGAAGAATCTGCAATGTTATCAGTCCTGATCTGGCATCTTAGCTTCAGTCACTTTCCGACCGTCATAATGTAGCTTCCCTGTGCCTTTTCTATAAATAGTTTCATCGTAATTTTTCTGGTGAACTTTCCTCTATGGTACCTAGACTTTATGAATTTAAGCGCAGTACTAGATTGTTAGAAGAGAGGCACGGTGGAGTAATGGATAGAGGCTCGGATTGAGGAATCGGAGAGCTGTGTTCGAATTCCAGTCGAATCCATTACATTCACTTACGAGCTAATATCCTTGGGAAAGGTATGAATCATCCTCTTCTCCCCCAGCTATTTGTAGTGGCAACTGGTCTACCGCAGAAAGAAATGGGAAAATCTGCCTCATCAGTCATGTATCGAAAAGATCGCCTAAGCGTTTATCCGGCATGGTACATAACTGACTTACTAGATTTGTGCCAAGATCTCATCATTTTACAGTTGAAATGACTAGATGCAACTGCAAGCTCTATGCTAAAAGTTTCTTACATCCCACTTCTTGCTTGTGGAACTGTTTTCCAGCTTCTTGCTTTCCAGGCAACATTTTAAATGTAATTATATACTGTCTTAATGTCTGTTCTTTTATTGTTCTCGCACCTTAATAATGTTTTTCGGTTTTCTTTCGCACTCATTATTACCTGCGTCTTAGCAGCTTTATTGCATTGCTTGGGGTGAAATGATTAAAAATAACGAAACAAATTTTCATCACTTCAAAAACTAACGTAATACAATTTCATCAACGCCATTGAAACCATTATTTTTCTCCAGTCAAAATGAATGATATCACTATCAATAGGACACCATGATTTTGTATTACTTTCTCACCAAGCCTCCTGACATCGGAATTACGAGTTCAATCCTTGGGCCTGGCAGTACAAACTTATTATCAGTGCAAACAAAGCTAACAATAACCAAGCAGTACTAAAAACAAACAAGACGAGATATCACTTGACATGAACAAGAGAAGGAGAAAAGTCTACCCATGTAGAATAAATGAAGTGGCCATTTCGAAACTTCCTGAATGTTACACAGATTGACAGACACCTGAATAAGTCAGGCGTGCACAACAACCAGAACGTTAATATAATAACAACAAAGATGAGGACATTAGTCTTGCTGTAAATAATGGGCATAACTTAACATGGAAACTTCAAACAACGATGGAAAGTCAAAGAGTATATTGAGCGAAATGTGTTCAAACAGCAAGGATAAGGATGGATACCTCCTCAAAAATCGCAATACTTAAGGTTTAAATTATTTAAAAAAAATGAACCTTTCATTTTAGATTTAAATGAAATCTAAAGGATTAAATGTACTATTTCCAGTAAGCAAAATATTGTTGTGTATTTCAAATAGAAATCATATTGATTGGAAACAATTTTTTCAGTAACATCATCAAACTCGTCCATTTCTTACACATCTGTAAACAGAAGTTAGTTCTCCATTTTAAAAATCTTGCAAAAATAGAATATACTTTTACTTGCAGAATATTAGCTGATTTAAAGTATAATTAAACTGAGATGAAACAGATATTATTTACTTTAAGTTTAAAATATTGCAGAAAGGATTTTTAACTCGACAGTGGCTGTGTTTTTAAACTCGACAGTAGGTGTTTTGACGTGTTGACAACCTGATGACAGATCTAATGTTGTTCTACGGAGACTTTATCTGTAAAAAAAAATTGACGTAAAAGCCTTTTTGTATTATTTTTAAGTACTCAGTAATCTTAAAAATTTAGGACAATATCCTCCCTAATCTACTGTTTTATTGAATTTTAGAAATTTTGTCTTTAAATTTAATATAGTTATCGCTTATATTTTCTGATAATGTCGCATATGGTCTACTGTACTTTAAAAAATCGGCCCGTTTATACACACATAAAAAATTCAAATTTATTTTTAAAAAGTATTGGTGTGTGAGGATTTATATTAAGCTTTTTCATTTAGGATTAGTAAATATAGTTTTCGCTTAATAATAATATAATTTAAAAGGCTGAAATTAGTGCAAAATTTTAAAAGATTTAAAACTTGATAGATAATAATTAAACTTTTTAAAAAGTGAAAACAGTTATTGTAAAAATTTATTATTTCACGATTTTTTTTCTTGAGACAATACTGTACTTAATACATCTTATTTATAAAAGTAATTAAAATCTTTTCTAATTAAATAATATCATAGTTTTATTTCATTTTTTTTTTTTTTACAATCCAGAACAGATTTTCGGTAAATGATATTTTCTGTTTGACAAAAACAAAATGATGATTTAAATTTTCTAATTTTCTTCTGCTTTTAACGAATATAAATATGAAGAGGCTGAAATTTTAATTTCTGAAAATTTAATTAATTAAGCGGTGAGGTTGTGGAGGTGGATGTAAAAAAAAATATTTTGCCAAGATTTTCTGAAATAAAGAAAAATTAAAAAAATAATTTAATTCATTTGTAAATAAGGGCTGAAAATTTCCTTAAAATGAGACAATTATTTGATTTTTGCAAGAATTTCCAAAACTGTATTTTTACCGCAAAAAAAAAAGATGCTAAATTTCCAGTATTAATTGTTGGTCCACCGCTGACGAAAAAAAAAAAAAAAAAAGAAACAAGATTTGAACCAAAATTTCGAACGTTCTATTAGGTTGGTGCAAAAATAATGCGTTATACGTCAAAAAACGACATTATTACGTCAATATTTTTGCACCAAATAAAAAAGATTTTGAATGGAGAAAAATAATGGTTTCAATGGCGTTGATGAAATGGTATTATGTTAGTTTTTGAAGTGATGAAAATTTGTTTCGTTATTTTTAATCATTTCACCCCAAGCAATGCAATAAAGCTACTAAGACGCAGGTAATAATAAGTGCGAAAGAAAACCGAAAAACATTATTAAGGTTGGTGCAAAAATAATGACGTAATAATGTCGTTTTTTGACGTTAAAAAATACGCCAAAAAACGACATTATTACGTCATTATTTTTGCACCAACCTAATAGAAAGGATTAAACAATTTAATAAAAAAATACTTTGGTCTTTCCTTTTAATAATAACAGAAATATTTTGACGATAAAACTTTAGTGTCTTTTTCGTGCTGATATGTTCTTTTGTAGCGAAAAAGTGGAGGTACCTAGATAAAGATATGTAATTTTTTTTTTTATAATGGTATTGCATGTTTAATAGACTTCTGTGTATTGTAAACATAACTTCTATAAGCAGTGGCAAAGGAAAAAAAATCGACTCGTACATTAAGATATTTGCTTAATTGCACTAGTCTGGAACCGAATATCTTCAATGTATGTCTGTATTGATTGAAAATGTTGCATTAAAAATTTCCAAAGGTGAACGCAAAAACATGTTCAGAATGAGAAAAACGTTATCTCTCATAATTTCAAAGAATGCATGCAAACGAACGAATATATTGACCGGAATATTCAGTCAACATCAAGAAATCTGAAGATTCTTTAATATATCAAATCCTTTTAAAACATGGGTAATAATAATGGTAATAGTAGCCGCTTCCTTATAAGAAAACGGCTAATATTACCATTATCCGTTTCCTTATAAGGAAACATCCAGTATCGAATGACAGAGCAGCTATTGCTGCTTTTGTTTGAAATTTATAAAACCTTTCTATTAAAATAATTTTGCAATGAAAATAGGCTCCTCAAGTCCAGTAAATTTTATTGCTTTTTTCCAGCATTAATAGTCGCATGCTTTCTAACATTTTCTTTTAAAATCTGCCTGAGATTATCGGAGGGGGAGTTTATTATTTGAAGTCGCTGCATACGCACTAATGTCTTCAACCTTATTGTTGTTATCACAACGTTTCAGCCGTTGTGCCATCCAGCCTTCATCAGGTATATACCTATCCGGATGGACATACTCCTGATAAAGACCCGAGTTTGCAACAACTGAAATGTTATGATAAAAACAACAAAGATAAGGATAAGGATATAATGAAAATGTTGATATTCCACACTGTTACAAACAAAATTATTTGCACTATCTATATGCAAACTATTGTCCGTATATAAATGGTGTAAATAATTTACACTATATGCAAACTATTCTTCGTATATAAATGATGTAAATAATTTACACTATCTATATGCAAACTATTGTTCGTGTATAAATGGTGTAAATAATTTTATCTATAGGTAAACTATTGAGCTTGATCCCACCAGTTTTCTTGCTATTGTTACAGTGTAAACAAAGCCGCTCAGCTAGCAGTGTGCATCAACCCTACACGCGAGCCACTAGTAGTTCGCAAGCGGGCAGCCGATGGCAACACCAGCGGTCCTCTTGTGGCAACCACAGGTAGACACCAACAGCCGTCAGTGGCCCTCTAGTGGCCCGTCAATGGTAACATTGCCGAGACGAACACGCTGGCGATCCGACAGCGGGCCACCAGCGGTAAAGGCTAGTAGCATGCCACCCAGTGGCAGATTGGTGGATTGCGTGTAGGAAAGGAGGTAGAAAGAGCAGTGACCCGATTTCTCTGACCGGGGAGGTGCGTCAGCGGTTGAAAGTCGCCGGGGGGTGGGGGGTCTTAACATGATACGGCGACAGTGACGAGAATATAAAGCAAGCCCGAGAGATGGTAATGGCTATCCGGCGAGTTATCATCGATGAGGTAGATTCGAATCACTTCTCCTTGTTCCTCTTTGGTGCACACTGTAACAATAGAAAGAAAACTGGCACGATCAAGGCTAAACTTCGATCATGTGACTAAAACAGTACCAACTATAAGCACGCATGAGTAGACGCTAGGGCATCAAGTTATTAGATACCCGTTGTGGCGAAAGTGCGAATGATTTTTAATTTACCTGTGTAGTTGGTCAATCTTCAAGGAAAGAGGGTTCAAATCAAACAGATAAGAAGTGCGCATTTCGTTTAAAATGTAGGATTGACAGCTACTTTGCAATATTGATCTCTATGGCGAAATAGCGGGCAATTTTTTTTTAACTTAACCCCGTATATAGCAGTTCAACACTCTTTTCTTTGTCTCTAACGATATTTTCCGATGTCTTGCTACCTAATTTTCGGAAGACTTCTTTCATTAATGCTTTACGTCTTCGGATTTGTTGCGTCGCATTTTTCCATCTACCGTTACTACACTATCCAGAGAGTTAAACACGTGGAATAACGTCATCTGACGTCAGGACACGCTTATTCTAACCTATTTTTCACTTGGCCTTCATGCAAAGGAAGGCGCTCCATAATTCTCCCTCTCCTCCCACCACTCCCGAATGCATCGCACAACGACGCTTGGTGGTGGCGGGCGGGGTTTTGACGACAGCGTTAGCAACCAATATGGAGACGGGAGCAGATGCTGACTTGATGACTTTACCGGAATGCCAAACGCGGAGATGCAAGGGAATAATTTACCTCCCACCCATCGCCATCAATACTCTGCTTTCGCAAACACTACGCCGATATCGTCAACCGTCAGGCTTATCATTTCTCTTCTCCGTTTCACCATCGACTTCAAATTGATGTTCGCCTCCGACCTTACTCATGTGTGATAGCTAATCTTTTTTTTCTTTTCTTTTCTTTTTTTTGATATTATTATTTGCTTTTGTTTGAAAGATATACTCTCGTTAGCGTCCTCAGTGTTAATGTCATGTCAGCGTCAACGTCAATTCATTCTTCAATGTTGCCATTTTGTATCTGGGTCATCGAAATAACGGACGCATATTTTCTAATTAAAGAAAATATCATAGGGGCAGCAACCACGTCATCATTATTGCTATTATCATCATCGTCATGTCAATATATATATTTTAAAATCCCATTATAATTGTGCGTGTCCTTCTCTTCGTTAGTTCGCACGACCATTACGCCCTGCCAATCCCTCATAAATAACCGACTATTATTGCTATTATCATCATCATGTCAATATATATATATTTAAATCCCATTATAATTGTGCGTGTCCTTCTCTTCGTTACTTCGCACGACCATTACGCCCTGCCAATCCCTTATAAATAATCGACTATTATTGCTATTATCATCATCGTCATGTCAATATATATATTTTAAAATCCCATTATAATTGTGCGTGTCCTTCTCTTCGTTAGTTCGCACGACCATTATGCCTTGCCAATCCCTCATAAATAATCGACTATTCTTTTTTGATCGCGTGGAAAGATGGGAAATATTAAATGCTTATTTTTCAGTGACAAAATGAAAAAAAAAAGGATGGAAGTCTTACAATTGCGTCCAAAATATTTAGAGGTTGATATGCCACTAAACATAACCAAATCATCAGCTCCATAAATATTGGACTATTCCGTTTTAATCCCGTGGGAAAACAAAATACATCAGAGACCCTATTTGGTTTGAAAGAAAGAAAGAAAGAAAGAAAGAAAAAGAAAGAAAGAAAGAAAGAAAGAAAGAGATAGATAGATAGATTGATTGATGGATTAATAGATTGATATGCTGTTTCAATGAAATGGGAAAAGTTGTCGATTCCAAAACTTTTTCATTTGTCTTCCCTTCTTAAAATAAAGACCAACATTCATAGTTATGATTGTCATTGTAATATTTGTTAAAGTTCAAAATATTTAACAATGTGATAGAGGAATTAGGATATTTTATTGTCGTAGAACTCGCCAGGAGCTTATTCAATCATTAACTTAAGAGTTAAGATTCATCGGAAATTTTAAATAGGAAAACCGTGGAATTTTCACTGGTCTTTCTAGTAAACAAGAAATTTATCAGTAACTGTCGTCGAATATGGACTTTTCTCTTCAGGATCGACACTCTCTAGCCCTCACGGCGCTTCGATAGATATCTTCATATTCCTAGTCAGCCAGACCTGCCTTGCTAACGTTTACCCTACACCGAGGCACCATAAGTGAAAATAACCACTATGTGTCCTTCAGGAAGTGAGTGATCAGGGCTCTCAACAACTTTCTGTCTTTGCAGATTTGTTTTTTTCGTTATCTCTTTTTCCCTGTTCTGTCGTCCATTTAGACAGGCTCGTTAGGCAGATTATTCGACACTTTCCCTTGTCTCTCTTGTCACCAACACCTGCCCTGAGAGACATTATATTACTGGAAGATAGAATAGAAAAAGCAAAGTTAACCATTTATTTCATTTTGTCCTTTGGATACAAGGCCAGAGTAAAAGAGAGAAGAGATAGTAATCAATTGTAAGCCATTGAAGTTTCACACTATTTACATTATTCGATTATTCTTTTTCATCTTTGTCATGAAAATTACAAATTTTGTTAATCCGGCCTTCTTCAGGTAGTTGGAATGCCGAACTGAACCCTTTATTTAGGTTTTATCAGGAGATAACTGACAACTGTCATCCGTTAAAAAAAAACATGGCACGTGGAACTAGAACAGTCTACCCCAGTAAGCGAAATAAAGGGTTTATTTCTGCCATTCCAACCACCTGAAGAAGGCCTTGCGTACAACGGTCGAAACGTTGTAATAAATATGGCGACAAAGATGAGGACAATAGTCCGAATAATGTAGAAACGATTGATCATCTTGTATCAGGAAATACGACAGATATTGCAGTTTGAATATAAAACCCGGCATGACAATGGATAGGGCCAATATCTGCACTGGAAAATCATTCAATCTTCTACGTTCAAAGGAAACTGAAAAGAAACTGGTATGAACACCACCCAGACCCGGTAAATAGGAGGACAGGACCTGTTACAATTCTATGGGACTACACAATACACACTGACAGAACAATCAAAGCCAACCGCCCAGATATTGTTATTAAAGACCACAAAAAAAAAAAGTGCCTCCTTATTGATATGGCAGTCCTGCTGACTGCAATGTATCTTTGAAGATATTCAAAAAGCTGTCAAAATACAAGGACCTTGAAATAGAAATCTCGAAAATGTGGCATATAAAGATAGGAACATCAACAACCCTGTTGTAGTTGGAGCCCTAGGACTGGTTGGAAAAGATTGCAGTAGACTAATTGAAGGGATTCCTGGAACATCCATGTGAAAAGGAGATATAAAAAAATTGTTCTGACAAGTACAGCCCAAATTTTTGCCGAAGGGCTTTATCTATTAAAATGTTTTTTTTTTTTTTTGTCAGTGGAAAGTGTCATGATGCCATTTCTAACCTTAGGTCCCTGGGCGGGACATGATGAAAAACAAAAATGTGTAAACGCCAGAAATCAAAAAAAAAATAAAAATAATAATAATAATAATAATAATGGGAGGAGGATGGCTAAGAAATGCAAGTACATATACTATAAACTGGCTGAAACTAAAAAAGACTTTTAAAAAAGACATAAAAGAAAAAAATTGCAATTGATCAGATACACCTACTGAATAAAAATAAACCGCTTCATGGCCAATATCTGCATTTAGAAAAACCAAATTCGAGGGGAAGTAAACTGAAAACATTACCCATCTGAAATACGTGGTGCGGAAATAGAATCTGAAACTGAAGGTTTTAATGTTTTGACCAATGCTTGGAATAAAAATCATTTACATATAGCAAAAATATTGTGTTATTAAAAAATGCAGATTCTGAAAAATAATTCCTTATTGATATTCAGAATTCACGAATTGTATCTTTTGAATATAAATTCAACACTGTTAAAATAATCTGCACAGAAAATCTAGAAAAACAAAGGAAACTGAAAGAAAAGAACATGAACACCTGATTTTAGTTTAGGAATAGGATTCTGTTACAATTCTATGGACTAGATATAAATGAAGGACAGAACAATCATGTCCAAAGAGATTTTTTTCATTGTTATTAAAGACCACAAACAAAAAAAGTGACTTTATATTAAAAAATTTTTTTTTTTTTTGTCAGTGGAAATGTCAAAATTATTCAAATTTCATTTTTTTAAAGGACCCTTGAAAAAAAAATAAAAACATGAAAAAAAAAAAAAATGAGAAGAAGTAAAAGATTTAGATTTGTCAATTTTTTTTCAATTAATCAGTAAACTTAAAAATATTTACCATTTTTCCAGTTGCAAGGCTTATTGAAAAAAATTAGCAGACCATAGTAAAAAAAATACAAAAAAAATAACTAGATTTGAATTTTTTTCCGAACAAAGAAAATTTATCCATAGAATTACGTGTATTTACAGAATTTAAAGGGACCCGGAAAGAAATGTAATTTTAAGAAATCAAAGAAAAAATAATGAGAAGAAAAGAAAGATGAAAAAACAGAAACAAAATAGTTGTATTTCAAAACAATAACAATGATATAGTTTTTTTTTTGCAAAAAGGTATAATTTATAAATAGAAAAATGCTGACAGATTTTCTAATAGTAAAACAAAAACAACAACAATTTCTCATAAAAAAATAATTTATAAATTAAAAAAATTTTTTTCCAAAGAATTTTCTTTGATCGATATTCATTTATTCATTTCCAAATTTAAAACATCGGTGCCATTAAAAATTTAAGGTCTGAATTTGTCTAAATAAAAAATGAAAGAAAAAAGATAAAAAAAAAACAATTATAATCAAATTTTTTTTCTACAAAGTGTTAGTCTAATCTAAATTATATTTAACAAACAATTGAACCTTAAATTTACGCCAGAATTTTTTAAATATTCATTAAATTTAAGAAAAAGACAAAAAAAGAAAAAATCTATGGATCAAACATCATGAAAATTTAAAACGTTAAACAAATTAAAATGCGAATAAAAAGAACGTCTGAACTCAATATTACTAACAAAAAAAATATTAGGGTTAGCAAAAAAATGTATTTAAAATTTGTGTCAAGCTGTGACTCAATAAAACAAATTAAAAATACTCGTGAAAAATTCAGTTTTACCATTTGAATGTCTTGATTAATCATAATTCTTAAGTTAATAATCGATTGATTGATTCGTTTTTTATGACTTATCAACCCATTGCAGGTTATTTAACGTTAAAAAAGAATTTTGATTTTAAAAATTTGAACGTAGATAATCAATGGTTTAACCAAAGAGTCTTACTTAATTAACCCATAGCTGGAAGAAAATAAAAGAAAAATCATTTGACCCATCAAAAAAAATAAAAAGGGATACTCGTGAAATATTCTTTTGACCATTTGAAATTGGAACTCGGTTATCCGATTAAAATTCCGAATCATTTGATTGATCCACCCGCACCCCAAGGTTACAGCACCTGGTTATTCAAGCGGTCAACCATTTAGATTTTAAAAAAGATTTTTTTTTTACATCGGTGATTTGGAAAACCGTTTGTTTCAACATGATGTAACTGTAATCCTGATAATTGAATAAGATGCTTGCGTGTTATACGACTTAAATATGTTGAAATATAAATAAGGAACTGAAGAAAAAAATATTTAAACAAAAGTATTTTACACAAATATTAAAATAACAATTCCGAATAATTATTAAAAAGAAACCCTCATTATCCTATTAAAAGATTAGAAACCTGGAATTTTTTTTTTTTCGTATTGAAACCATTTAAATTTTTTTAAAATTCTAAGCCATTTTCATCAATTATTTTTAAAGAAAAAAACCCCTTTTTTTTTAATTTTTATGATTCTGAAAAAAACTGAAAATCAAGTAGTAAATTTTGATAATTTTTTTCAAAAAATATACGATCAAAACGGAATAGCTTAGTATCAAACGGACTAAATGTTTATTTGATAAAATTTTATTTTAACTACCTTATTGCAATAACAATAATGTTTAGAATACTTAAAAAGCGGTGATTAAAATTTTAAAAACAGTAAAACATTTGAAAATGAATTTTTTTTTTTTCTTGTTCTTTAAACAGACAATACAAATATAATTTAGCGAAAATTTTATTTTTTTTAAACTTTTTTATTTATTATAGTTTTATTGAATTCTTTTTTTCAACTGAAAAATTTTTGGTAGTAATTTCAAGTTAGATTTTATAAAATCTTTAATGACGATAAACCTTATTTTATTGTCATAAAATAATTTTTTGTTTTGTCTATCATCATGCTGAATAAAAATTATTTTTATAAATTTATTTAATAGCAGCATGGTTTTATCGTTAAAAAAAAAATTCAAAAATTTAAAATTCATACTAAACAAATTGAAATCACTTGATTAAAAATTTATTTGTTCTTGGAAACTGACAAAACAAATGCCCTTTTCCGTGCTGATTACTATTGTTTATTTACACTATTTTTCATTTTTTTTTCGTTCTATACTAAAATTAAATATGTTCGAAAAAATTATAAATCAATTCGATTTTCTAAAATTTAAAAAAATACTCGTTCACAAAAACCGAAAAAAAAAAAAATAGTATAATGTCTATCACTTTTTTGAAAAAAAGTTCTTTTCTTAGAATATTTACTGAGTTTATAGCAAGAATGTTGCCAATACTTGATTCAAATTTGCAGATTTAAATTTGTTCTCACTTAAATAAAAATTATTAAATCGATTTTTTTGTTTTTAAGCATGCCTTTTTAACATTGAATGTGTATTCTTCATCTTTTTTCATCTTTTTGCCTTCTCAATTATCCAAATTTTTTTGAAATATATAATTTCATTAAATCTGTATGAAAACTCTGGTCTAAACAAAATGGCTTTTACACAAAACTCATAATATTAAAAGCATGAAAAAAAAATTATTTTCCACTATCGATGGGAGTTGGGTAAAAAAAGTTTTTCTTGGCCCTTCCCCTAACTTGAAATATTTTTTCATGTAAATTTTGTTGCAAATCGGAAAAAGAAAACATGTGATTCGTTAAAAAACACAACACACACACACACACACACACACATAACTGCCATTTTATAGATTTTTAAATTGGTAAATGATAAATATTCATTTTTTTTTTTCTAATTGTATTTTTTTTTAGAATAACATAAACATGTCAGTCATTGTTTTCAAGAAACAGTCTAATTATGAATAATCATGCCTATTTTTGGCGCATGCCAGCAATTGTCCAAGTTCCTGAGTTCATTATTTATGGAGGTAAACATGAATATGAAATGTTTGAAGCATAAAAATAGAAAAAGCAGAATTATAATAAGAATCAATGCTACTTAAAAAAATAAATGAATAACAGAAGTTTTATCTGTATGTGCTGTAAATGAGTTTTTTGCAAGTTCTTCAAATATATATGTCCTACTGTGACAACAGTGAATTCTGAAACACTTCACACATGAAGAAAAGACACACAGACACACACACTCACAGAATGATGCTGGTTTGGATGCTATGGAACCCCCATAAATTGGTAAATGATATGTTTTCCATTAAAAAAAAAATAATAATGAAAACTTACTAACATGAAATTATGAGACGAAAGAAACAGTCTAATTAAGAAAGGAAATTGGAAAATTTTATATACTTACAGGTCAGAGGGACAGATATTAAACGAGGTGGAATAAATATTATGACGAGAATAACATGGCGGAACAGCGTTATAATAATTGAATGAAAAACAAAATAAATTTAGAGGCTGTTTCACTGATTAACAAACGTACTCAAATGAGTTGAAATTTTTTCTTCAAATATATTCACCAAATTTAAACTAACGCGTTTAATGACTAGTCCTAAAAAAAATAAGAACTTTGGAAATATCCTTCAGAATGAAGAAACTTTTGAAATAATCTACCCTCTTCTTACAGAAGGATGCTGCCATGAATTACAGAACGTAGAGCAAATTTTGTTTTTTGAAAAATTGAAAAAAAATAAGATTCCTCTTTATAAGAATTTACCAAAATCAAATATTCATCCACTTTATAAAAAAAAGGTATATTTTCCTATTTCCTTTATCAAATACTCTATTCTATTAAAAGGGACAGAGAAATCGAAGGAAACATCCTTGACGAGTAATATATTACCCAGAAAAACAGATTTTGCCTATGTATCGAATGATACAGAATTTGGCCTTAGAAATTGTTTGAAACCGATCTAAATAATGTTGCTATTTGAAAAATTGATATTTAGCATTGAACTCAGAACCATTATCTGTCACCGAAATTCGCAAACTTTTCATTTTGCACTAAATAAATAAAAAAATTAATCTCAAAATCGAGTTTTAAAGATCTGAGCAGTAAAAAATATGAGACAGTCTACAAAATTCTTTTTTTTTTTTTTTTATGTGCCATGTCCTTTCAGGACGTAGGCGATCATGGCTCTCCACCTCCTTCCATCCCTTGCAGCTCTCAACAAGTTCCTTCCCTCTGCTTCCTCCCCCAGACCACGTTCTGTCATTTTGCTTAAGTCCGCCAGGTATATCACGCGTTGTTTTCCCTTGTCTCTCTTTCCTCTATTCGAATTTTGAGTATCAGATTCTCCAAGCCCTCCTTCCTCATTATATGCCCCAGAAACTTCACCTGCCTCTTCCTGATATTAAGTATTGGCCTTCTCCTTGTTTGAAAAGGATCTAAGATATCGTTGCTACACATATCCATGATATCCTTAGCATTCTCCGTCGCCTCGAGTCTCTTCTTCATCTTTGAGGAAATCGTCCATATATATATATAATAAGGATATGTATCAATATAATTTTATTTCTTTACCAAAGAAATCCTCCTGTTTCCAATACTTTGTGTCTTGATTTGCAAAAAACCTTGGCCATCCCAATACGTCTATGGATATAGAGTCGCATATAGTCCTATGTTAATATACTTAATAGATATTTAATCTTCCTTGTAGTTGTTTGATTCTAGTGTTCCCGACTTTGAAATCGCATTTCGGGCTCATTTTACCCTCGTAGATTAAATAAAGGGTTTAGTTCAATTACAATTAGACAGATCGATATACACATGAGGAAGGCCTGAAGGTACAATAGTCGAAACGTTGTGAGAAAAACAACAAAGATGAAGACAACTGTCTGTATATAAATAGTATAAATAATATTAATTTAAATTTAATCATTATTTTGTGCCAGGTAAGAATGGAGAAGTATCTTATATATATATATATATATATATATATATATATATATATATATATATTTATATATATATATATATATAAAATTAATAGAAATCTTATAAGTTAAGAAACTATACTCTGAAAACCTTCTTTTGTCTTGATTTGCAAACCGGCCTGAAAATCAAAGGGGGAAAAAGGTATAGAAAAAAAAAAGAACCAAGAACATGTACGTTAATCGAAAATAATCGTCCAGCATACGAGTTCACGGTCTAATTCCAAAGTAAAAAAAAAAAAAAACCCGATGCGAGTACCCAAAACAACTAAATAAAGTGCTTGTTTACAATGAGTTAAGCAGATTTAGAGAGCCAGACAAATAAACAAGGTTTTGCTTAGTGGATCGTCAGGGTCCTTCTTTAGGTTTGTCTGGCTCTCTAAGTTAAAAAAATATATATATATATATATATATATATATATATATTGTGTATTTTTAACTATATTTAATTATAATAATATGACCGTATATTTAGATTTTAATATATTAATATGATTTATATTATTATGATTTATATATATTAATATATTAATTATATAATATGACCGTATATTTAGATTTTAGAAGTATATATATTGGTAAAACGAGGAAATGAATTCGCTATTTACGATTTGTTTTTCGATCTTCTGTTTTCCGCAACTTCTTTAGGCGGCGTATAAGAAAAGCTACTGTTGCTCATAATTTTTGTTCTCTTCTTTCTCGCTCATCAGTGTTCGTATTTTTCATAGTCGTTTTCATTTTCTTTCTTTGGTATTTTCCCGTTACATTCGTTTTCCATTCTTCCTTTATTTGTCTTTTCTTTCCCTTCTTTTCTTTCTTTAATTCTATTTTCTTTTTTTTTTATTTTTCATCTTTTCTTTCTCTATTTTCTTCTTTCTTTTTCTTTTTTGGTTTCACTCTCTTTGCATTTCCTCCTGTTCTTTATTCTTACTTTCTTTCTTTCTTTCTTTCTTTCTTTCTTTCTTTCGTTCTTTCTTTCGTTCTTTCTTTCTTTCGTTCTTTCGTTCTTTCTTTCGTTCTTTCTTTCGTTCTTTCGTTCTTTCGTTCTTTCTTTCTTTCTTTCTTTCTTTCTTTCGTTCTTTCTTTCTTTCGTTCTTTCTTTCTTTCTTTCGTTCTTTCTTTCTTTCGTTCTTTCTTTCTTTCTTTTCTATCTTCATTTCTTTTACTTTTCTTCCTTTTTTTCTTTCCTTGAATTTTCTATGTTTTTTTCTGGCACACTTTCCATTTCGGTCTTTTTTTTTCTTTCTTTACTTTATCTATTTTCCTTCTTATATTTCTAGTTTCATTCTCTTTCTCCTCTTGATTCTCCCCGTCTTTCTTTCTTTTCTTTTTCCTTCCTTCCTTCCTTCCTTCCTTCCTTCCTTCCTTCCTTCCTTCCTTTGTTCTTTTTGTTCCTTCTGTTGTTTTTCTCTGTTCTCCCCTTTCCTTCTTCATTTGTTCTATCTTGCTTACTTTTGTTTTTTCTTCCATTTCTTTCTTTTTCTTTTTGTCTTTCTCCTTTCCATATATTATATTTCACTTCTTCCTTTCTTTATTCTCCATGATTTCTTTAACCTTCTCTTATCACCATCACCACTACCACCACACTTCTTGCCTTGAAGTGAACTAATTAATCATTCCCGACAACCACAGACGATTTCTTTTTTTTATCTTTGGTGTACAATAAACAATCACGCCGCCATCATTAAAATCGAAATGCCCACAATCTCATCAATACAAAATTATTTACAATTCTTCTCCTCTTCTCAATTGTTCGAGCCTCTACGAACTGGCCTAATGAGACAGACAACCGAAAATCTTAGAATTGATTGCAGATTCTCTCTACCGCCATCACGAGGTTGGCATTGAGAATTTTATGAACCTTTAATTTTGTGTGCCTTAGGCATACAACAGGAGAAAGTGTTCATATGTTTATCTTGCAAAGTATTTGTATTTTTATAAAAGAGTGGCATATTGGTTATTATCGTTTGATTTTTACATCTTCTTTTTACACCTTTCTATTCCTTTTGCGACTTCATTTTAAACCTTTCCAGTCATTCTACGTCTTCTTTGTACGCCTGTCTACCCCTTTACGCCTTCGTTTAACTTCTGTTTTGTTTAGACGTGCTTTTTACACTTTTTCAGTTCTGCGTCTTCTTGTTACACCTCTCTGTTACTTTTACGCCTTCTTTTTACTCTTGCGTAAACGGGATATATGTCAACAATTTTGACACTTGTGTAAACGAGACATATGTCGACCTTTTTCACTCCCGTGTAAACGCGACGTATGTCGACCTTTTTCACGCTCGTGTAAACGGGACGTATGTCGGCCTTTTTGACTCTCGTGTAAACGAGACGTATGTCGACCTTTTTGATTCTCGTGTAAACGCAACATATGTCGGCCTTTTTGACTCTCGTATAAACGAGACGTATGTCGACCTTTTTGATTCTCGTGTAAACGGAACATATGTCTACCTTTTTCACTCTCGTGTAAACAGGACGTATATCTACCTTTTTGTACTTTGCTCTACCTTTTTAGCTGACATGCAAGTTTGTGGCTAACATTTTTGACACTCGTTTAAACCTAACCTATGACGAAAACTTTTACCTTCGCACACACCGGACGAATGATTATTTGTCACTTTCGTTTAAAACGCATCTCTACGTACCTTGTCGATTCTAATGCAAAACTGAATCTATACCTACCTATCGGTTAATTACTTGTGATATGTGTCTTACAAGATTTGTATTTGACTGTAAATAACCCAAGTGTTGATATGTCTTTGCATTAAGCAACTAAACCTAACATAACCGTCTATTTACGCGCATTGATTATTTTCTGCTGCTCACCTTGTGTTTTATGTAACTGGTTTTTGATGACATTGTTCAGGGCCAATATTATTATTATTATTATTATTATTATTTACCAATCGAAACTTAGTTATATAAAATACCATATTTATGGGACACTCAATGAGGACGGAACTAACTTGTAATCATCTGCGAAGCAAGTTTGTTAATCATTATCCCCATTGTGAGGCTCTCTCTCTCTCTCTTTCCACATACACACAGACATATATATATATATATATATATATATATATATATATATATATATATTATAAAAAATTTATCAAACATTTTAAGCGTTTTAATATTGGATATTTGCAACCATGAACACAATAATTAGACCCGTCTAATTGGTCCCTTCCTTTCCAGCAAAAAACAATCGTTCACAGACATTAACTGACATTCACTTGATTACTGTCTTTATTTGTCCATTCGTCTATTTTTTTTTCCTTTTGTTTTCGTCCTCCATCTTTTTATTCGTCTTCTGCCGGCTCACCTATTTTCTCCCTCTCGTGTGCCAATCACGCCTCCTCGGTCCACCCAGCCTTTAGCTTCCATATTATGACACTGCGTTGTCTGCTTGCCTATACTGGCTGCAGAACTAATGGAAAGGCAGCCCAAAGTCACACTTGACATAAATGCGAGCCACTTGGCTTCATCGACGACCGCAGATGCTTGGCATGTTGCCCATGGCAACGAGATTTCGCGCCACTGCATGGCGACAGTTACGGTTGAAGTCCTTCAAATTATTGTCATGAGTTGTTCGAACTTGTAATGCCTAATCTGCTATAGAGAAGTGAATGCGGGACAATTTTGTCATAGATGAAGAAAAGATTAATAGGGATGTGGTTCCACCGGCGAATATTGACAATATGTACAGATTATTTGAGAAAGGTGAAAGTATTAAAAATAGTCCCTACAAAGAAACTATTAATAGCAAAGCAAAAATAGTTCCAGCTTTGGGGGAGGCACACTTAGGAAAGAAGGCTTGGAGGAGTAAACATTCACAGGGCATATTGAAAGCAAAGAGACAAAGTAAGTCGATGTTAAAACAAGTACTATACTGACAAAAACTGTTAATGAAGAGAAAAGAACCACTTCGAGCAGTTGAAGACATAAAAAAGTAAAAGCCATGATTGCCGAAGACTTGAAGGGACACAACAGAGACATGAGTAGATACAGATCTACACCTATGCTGTATGGTCATTGTTAGCGGAACTTGTCGAGTATTTGGGTGCTCATCCTTTTCCTTCTTTGTGAAATAGGTCTTATCGTGAGAAGAGGAAAATTCTTTGCGAATGAATGTTTTGGTTACGAATTGTTTGTGGTTGTTGGGTCTCCACGCCATGGCACACACACACTTCAGCTGACAACATTCGCTGCGGCAAATCAAGGCTTGACAGGCAGCTTCATGATGACAGCTTCATCGGGCAGCCGACTTGTTCTCGTATGTAGAATGTCTCCTTGACCGCCTACCTGCCGTGTATTGGATCGGGCATAGTTTGGTCCCTTCCCTAAATCATTATCGCCATGGGTGATCCAATCGGGAGACGGAGCTCCCGGCAGCATTGCATTCAGGTTCTACGAGATGCACAAGCTTCTCCACTACGACACACATCATATACATTACGTGTTAAAAAAAAAAAAAAATTAACGATTTCTTAAGTATATAAAACGTTAGGTAAAAAAAAACAACAAAAAACAAAACAAAAAACCACCAGAAAGCAATACAAATTACGCAATATTACATAAATAAACAAACAAAAATATCGTAAATTTTGTTCATTTTAAAAACAGAAGAAACAAAAAAAATATTTTAATAGTACGAATTCTGTTCCATGACTAAACAATATATCATTGCTAACTGTTGTGTTTACTTCATGCTAATACTGTAGAGAAAGGTACGGATCTATTTTTCTCCCCTCAGCAATATGTTAGACCGCTAGCCTTGAATGACAGCCAGCCTGGAAAAAGAACTCCTCTGAATTCAAAACATCTTCCACTAACATGAAGTGGAAGGATTATACTGAATCAACTGCCAAATCTGCAAATAAGAAAGTTGCTTCACATTATGAAATAGTTTTTGCACCCAAATCTATCCTACATATTTATGAATATACTCTCCGTCCATGCTTTGAATATTCCTGCCATATCTGGTCTTGTACTTTTGGTATGTATACAGAGATTCTTGATAAAGTCCAAAGAATCTGCAATATTATAGTTCCTGACTTGGCAGCTCGGAAAAATATCCACTACCGTAACATAGCGTCCATATGCCTTTTATATAAATATTTTCATGGTAATTGTTCTGATGGACGTTACTCTACGGTGCATTAAATTTATGAATTTAGGCGCAGTACGAGATTGGCGGTTATGTGTAATCATTTTACAGTTGAAATGACCGGAAGTAACCGTTGGTTCTAGGCGGACAGTTTCTTCGCGTGTTAAGCATTCTTCCGTCTTCTTGTTCTTCTTGTTCTATCTCTCCTTCATAATATTTTCATATTATCATATTCACTCAGACTAAGTAACCCCTAGCGTCTTAGTGGCTTTATTGACTTGCTTGGGAAGAAAGATTAACCAAATCACACACACACACACACACACACACACACACACACACACACACACACACACACACACACACACAGATATCTAGATATAATGATTATATATATATATATATAACCTCATATATAAATATATAGAGAGATAGATAGATAGATAGGAATGTACATATATATGATTGTATATATACATATCTGATATTCTATATATACACATGTATGATATTGTATGTATATATATATATATATATACAAACTGAATATATATATATATATATATATATATATATATATATATATATATATACCTTTTGCATATATATATATATATATAACATTGTGTGTGTATATGTATATATATGGAATTGCATATATATTAATGTATATATATATAATATATATAATATATATATATATATATATATATATATATATATATATATATATATATATATATATATATATATATAATATTTCTTACGAATGTACAGCAGCAGCAAAATCTCACTCTGATTGTTCTGATAAGAAAAGAATTCGCTAGTCTTTGGTGAGGTCCTCAGGCGCAACACAGAAGCAGACATTAAATGCCTTGAGGAGCTAGTGCTGCCCTGGTTCAAGTAGCGGGTTTATAGAATATCCTAGGTCTGGCAACAGGACTCTGCACCATGCCACATTTCTACGACCACGTCATCGCTTTAATCTGGCCACCTAACTCCCCAGACGTTAAATCCCTTAATTATTATGTGTGGGAGCGGCAGTTGAGTTAGAGACCAACAAAACTCATTGTAACGCCAAA